AAAAAAAAAAAAAAAAAATTGTAGGCCTGGCATGGTGGCTCACGCCTGTAATCTCAGCACTTTGGGAGGCCGAGGCAGGCAGATCACGAGGTCAGGAGATCGAGACCATCCTGGCTAACATGGCGAAATCCCGTCTCTACTAAAAATACAAAAAATTAGCCGGGCGTGGCGGTGTGTGCCTGTAGTCCCAGCTGCTCGGGAGGCTGAGGCAGGAGAATGGGGTAAACCCAGGAGGCGGAGCTTGCAGTGGACTGAGATCTGCCACTGCACTCCAGCTTGGGCGACAGAGCTAGACTCCATCTCAAAAAAAAAAAAGATTATTTTATTTATTTTATGTTATGTTATTTTATTTTATGTTATTTTTATTTTATTTTACTTTGTTATTTTATGTTGTATGTTATTTTATGTTATTTTATGTTATTTTATTTTGTTATTTTATTTTCTTGTGTTATTTTATGTTATTTTATTTTGTTATTTTGTTGTTATTGTATGTTATTTTATGTTATTGTATTTTATATTTTGTTGTTATTTTATTTTATGTTATGTTATGTTACGTTATGTTATGTTTGAGATGGAGTTTTGCTCTTGTTGCCCAGGCTGGAGTGCAATGGTGCAATCTGGGCTCATCGCAACCTCCGCCTCCAGGTTCATGCCATTCTCCTGCCTCAGTCCCCATAGTAGCTGAGATTACAGGTGTGCACCACCATGCCTGGCTAATTTTTTGTTTGAGACGGAGTCTTGCTCTGTCGCCAGGCTGGAGTGCAGTAGCACGATCTCAGCTCACTGCAACCTCCGTCTCCTGGGATCAAGTGATTTCCCTGCCTCAGCCTCCCAAGTAGCTGGGATTACAAGGCACGCACCACCAGGCCTGGCTAATTTTTTGTGTTTTAGTAGAGATGGTATTTCACCACGTTGGCTGAGATGGTCTCGATCTCCTGACCTCGTGATCTGCCCGCCTTAGCCTCCCAAAGTGCTGGGATTACAGACATCAACTACCATGCCCAGCCAGATTAGGGTTAATGTTCTTTCTGGGCCGGGCATGGTGGCTCATGCCTGTAATCCCAGCACTTTGGGAGGCCAAGGGGGGTGTGGATCACAAAGTCAGGAGATCGAGACCATCCTGGCCAACATGGTGAAATCCAGTGTCTACTAAAAATACAAAAAATTAGCTGGGTGTGGTTGTGGGTGCCTGTAATCCCAGCTACTCAGGAGGCTGAGGCAGGAGAATCGTCTGAACTCAGGGGGCGGAGGTTGCAGTGAGCCAAGATCAGTGCCATTGCACTCCAGCCTGGGTCACAGGGCAAGACTCCGTCTCAAAAAAAAAAAAAAAAAAAAGTTATTTCTGGTTCCCCACTTAGCTTCTCTTGACACCCAAGGTGCAGGGCTATGCAGAGGTTGGAATTCTGACTCTCCACTAGGACTCTATTGATAACTTCCCTAGCTGAAAGGCGTATGGGTATGTCATTTCTGCTTCCCAGTTGGCCTCTACTGACACCATATTGGGAGGAGGTGGCCTCATTAATGTTGGGCAGTTGTGGAAGTCCTGACTTTCCACTAGACTTCCTATAGAGAACTTCATCACTGCTTGCTTCACATATGGTATCTACTGACATCATGGTGGGGGATAGTTCTTACCACCCAGCAGGAATAAAAATCCTTGGTCTCTACTCAGACTTCTCTAACACCTCCCCTGTGGGCAGATTGGGGGAAGTAATTATAGCCTGGCAGGGGTAGAAATCTAGGCCCCTATTGGCACTTGCTGGCATGGGTGGGGCCGCAGTTTTTTCTGTCATGTTTGGCTGAGGTAGAGCAGTTACTATCTACTAGCTGTTTGCTGTCTTACTAGTTGCTCCTTTCCTGGTACATTGGCTAGAGTGAGTAGATTTTGGGGGAGCTTTTTTGTCTGTGCCCATTGACGTTTCCAGGCTGCTGGCTCCTTCAACTTTAGATCTGGGATATATGACCAGAAAAAACCCAGAAACTTTACTGCATCGTTCCATGGGTCCCAAGGTCCCTAGCTGATCTGCTTTCATCTCTTCACCCTTCAGAGTGATCAAGCTCCAGCTCACCTTCAGCCTCATTTCTTCTCTCCCATTTGCATGCTTATATCCCCAGAAATGCACCACATCTTATGGCTCTAGTTGTTTATGTTCAAGCAATATAGAAAGAACTACTTGCCATTTCCTAACCCTGTGATATGCTTTCACATCTTTAAGACTTTGCTTATGTTGTATATTCTTTCTTTAATATACCTAACCTTCTTTCTCTCTCTTTTTTTTTTTTTTTTTTTTTTTGAGATGGAGTCTCACTCTGTCGCCCAGGCTGGAGTGCAGTGGCACAATCTCGGCTCACTGCAGCCTCCACCTCCCAAGTTCATAGTGATTCTCTGCCTCAGCCTCCCAAGTAGCTGGTATTACAGGCGTGCACCACCACAACTGTTTAATTTTTGCATTTTTAGTAGAAATGAAGTTTTGTCATGTTGGCTAGACTGGTCTCGAATTCCTGGCCTCATGTGATCCATCCGCATCGGCCTCCTAAAATGCTAGGATTACAGGCATGAGCCACTGCACCTGGCCTCCTAACCTTCTTTCTCTATCTTTGAATTCTTCCAGCATCTTCAAAGGCTTTGCTCAAAGATCACCTCTCCCATCAAATCTTTTCCAGATCTCCATTCGTGATGGTTTACTTCCTTTTCTTTGTTTTTGTGGTACTTATACTTGACATTGGTATACCAAATATCTCATTTTGTTATGGCTGTTTGTGTCTTTTTTACTCCATGGGATTATGAATCCTTTGATTATAGGGGCATATCTTGTTTTTCTCTGTATCTACAACATTTAGGATATTTGACATATAGTAATTGTTTAATAAACTATTTGCTGAATGGACCCCACCATGAAATTTACTCCCCTGAAATAGAGTTCAGGTACTTTGAAGGGCTGTCTCTAGAACCACAGTGTTTAATAGAAATGTAATTTTAAATTTACCAGTGGCCACATACAAAAACAAAAATAAAAAGAAACAAGTGAAACTAGTTTTAGTTATTTTTATTTAACCCAATATATTAAAAAATGATCATTTCAACCTGTAGTCAATATAAAAAATTGAGATACTTTACATTATTTTGTTGTATTAAATCTTCACAATCTGGTGTATATTTTATACTTGTAGCTGACCTCACATTGTACCACCTGCTTTTCAAGTGCTCTCCAGCTGTATGTAGCTAGTGACTATGTATTGGACAGCGCAGCTCTAAAATATAATGGAGTTCTTAATATGTAATTAGTCATTTTTGTCCACTTGGGCAAGTTTTGCAAAGGCCTTTCTTGATTTTAACTGTGTAACTGTAATTAAGTCTGCAAAATTCATTAGAGAGTAGTGCTCCCTTTTAAACATACCTCAGTTCTAATTTAAGGATGACTGGCTGGCAGCCTAGCTACATTTTGAGTATGGGCCAGCTAAGGTGCCACCTTAGAGTTCCTCTCTTGACTTCAGGCTATTTATTTACCTGTCCTCAATTGCTCATTCACCCCAGACTGTTCTTAGACTACCTTTTTTTGGCATGATTGTTACTTCTTTCACAGTCAGTGTTGTTTAGTTTATATGTGATATTGTTGATGTGGCTCCAAAGTATCATATGCTTGTGACACTGTGGTAGACAGGTATATCTCGAAAGCACTTCGAGGAGGTTACTGGGTCGACTTCATTTACATTCATCTGCCAGGGAGGGGCTATAACTACTAGTTGTTGTTTTTTTTTTTTTTTTTTTAAGAGACAGGGTCTCAGGCCGGGCGCGGTGGCTCAAGCCTGTAATCCCAGCACTTTGGGAGGCCGAGACGGGCGGATCACGAGGTCAGGAGATCGAGACCATCCTGGTTAACACGGTGAAACCCCGTCTCTACTAAAAAATACAAAAAACTAGCCGGCCGAGGTGGCGGACGCCTGTAGTCCCAGCTACTCGGGAGGTGGAGGCAGGAGAATGGCGTGAACCCGGGAGGCGGAGCTTGCAGTGAGCTGAGATCCGGCTATTGCACTCCAGCCTGGGTGACAGCGCGAGACTCCGTCTCAAAAAAAAAAAAAAAAAAAAAAAAAAAAGAGACAGGGTCTCACTCTGTCACCCAGGCTGGAGTGCAGTACTCACTATAACCACAAACTCCTGGGCTCAAGTGATCCTTCCATCTCAGCCTCCCTAGTAGCTGGGACTATAAGCATGCACCACTATGCCCAACTCGTTTTCAGTTATTTTGTAGAGATGGGGTCTCGCTATGTTTCCCAGGCCTAGATCACTTTAATAAGGTTTGAGATCTGGCTAGTGGTTTATTAATGAATTACAAGGCATTAAGTGCATGCTAAATATATTATATGTATATATATTTGTTTGTATAATAATATGTTAAGGGAATTTAAAGGATAGGCTAGAAATGTATTGCTAACAAATCAAATACCTTAACACAAGGTTTCTACCTCACTTGTGGTACATAACTCTGCAAGTCCATAGAGAATTCTGCTTCGTGGTTACCCTAGGGTCCAAACTGATGGAGGGTTCCTCCTCATAAAACTATGCTCTCTAGAACGTGAAGGCTCCTCATTTGTCATAGCAGGAAAAGACAGCATGGAAAATCATGCACTGACTCTCAGGTGCTTCAGCATACAGTCCATTGGCCAGAACTAGGCACATGGCTCCAGCTAACTCCAGGGATGGGCTGGGAAATGTAGTTGTCTGTCTGGTAAGGTAAGAACCAGATGTTAGTGGATATCAATAATGTCTGCCACAGTCCTGACTCTGCCACTTGCTGGCCCTGTGATCTTGGAAAGCCACTCTCTGAGCCCCAGTTTACTCATCTACAGGTTGTAAACAATAATATTCTCACCTAAATGAATTGTGATTATCAGACAAGATACTGTTACGTGGGAGCACTTTGGAAATGTAAAGTGTGATGGAAATTTTAGCTATTCTTTAGCTGTTTTTTGAAGTTAAAGTGCTGCTTGTTTTTCCACAGGTCTACTGAATGATGGAACTGTGGGTATTTTTAGGGGCAACCAGATGCGCTTAAAGCGAGCCTGCATTCGCAAAGCAAAGATTTCTGCTGTTGCTTTCCGGAAAGCCTTCTGCCATCACAAGTTAGTGGAACTTGATGCCACAGGTGTGAATGCTGATATCACAATTACAGACATTATCAGTGGACTTGGCAGTAACAAATGGATCCAGCAGAATCTCCAGTGCCTGGTGCTGAATTCATTAACTCTCTCCCTCGAGGATCCTTACGAGCGGTGCTTTAGCCGGCTTTCTGGCCTTCGAGCTTTAAGCATCACCAATGTTCTCTTTTACAATGAAGACCTGGCTGAAGTTGCCTCGTTGCCAAGATTAGAGAGCTTGGATATTTCTAACACCTCGATCACAGACATCACTGCTCTACTGGCCTGCAAAGACCGACTCAAGTCTCTAACCATGCACCATTTGAAATGTTTAAAAATGACAACCACCCAGATACTGGATGTAGTTCGGGAACTCAAACATCTGAATCATCTTGATATCTCAGATGATAAACAGTTTACATCAGACATAGCTCTTCGCTTACTGGAACAAAAAGACATCCTACCCAACCTTGTTTCTCTGGATGTTTCTGGGAGAAAGCACGTGACAGATAAAGCTGTTGAAGCCTTTATACAACAACGTCCAAGCATGCAGTTTGTAGGTTTGCTGGCTACTGATGCTGGTTACTCTGAATTCCTCACAGGCGAAGGACATTTGAAGGTTAGACTTTAAAAATATATTATTCTGTCAGGCTGACCAATATCTTAGTTGCATAAGACTGCGTTAAAGATGAATGTCTATAATATATGGAACATGTTCATGAAACAGGGCCTCATATAGTTGAAAGGTTTTAGAGTCCTAATTAAAATTTCAGCTTCATGACCCAGGACAAGCTATGATGTCACTTCAAGTTTTTATTTCCTTATTTGTAGAATACATGGTATTCTTACCTTGCAGAATTTTGAAGATTAATGATAATCTATGTAAAGTGCAAGTCACATAGTAGGTCCTGGATAAACAATAGGTTGTCTTACGATGATAATGTTTAGATATTTTGAACCATTTACATACACTGTTTTTTTTGTTTTTTTGTCTTTTGAGACAGAGTCTCACTCTGTCACCGAGGCTGGAGTGCAGTGGTGCCATCTCAGCTCACTGCAAGCTCTGCCTCCCGGGTTCACACCATTCTCCTGCCTTAGCCCCCCGAGTAGCTGGGACTACAGGTGCCTGCCACCACACCCGGCTAATTTTTTGTATTTTTAGTAGAGACAGGGTTTCACTGTGTTAGCCAGGATGGTTTTGATCTCCTGACCTTGTGATCTGCCTGCCTTGGCCTCCCAAAGTGCTGGGATTACAGGCGTGAGCCACTGCGCCCAGCTACATATACTGTTTTTAATGGATAACTTCGGAGAAACTGGGGACACCGCTTGTTGAATTGAATACCTAGTGGGAGATCAAGTATTCTAAGGAGATCTCTACTGTAGAAATGGTAGAATTTTGCTTTTCCTAAGATTTCTCATGCCTAATGGTTTAAATTTAGTTTAACAAACATCAGTTGGATTTGATAGAGCTTGGGATTCAAAAATGAAAATGAGGCTGGGTGTGGTGGCTCACACCTGTAATCCCAACACTTTGGGAGGCAGAGATGGGCAGGTCACTTGAGGTCAAGAGTTCGATACCAGCTTGGCCAACATGGTGAAACCCCGTCTCTACTAAAAATACAAAAATTAGCCAGGCATGGTGGCATGTGCCTATATTCCCAGCTACACGGGAGCCTGAGGCAGGAGAATCTCTTGAACCCAGGAGGTGGAAGTTGCAGAGAGCCAAGATTGTGCCACTGCACTCAAGCCTGGGTGATAGAGTGAGACTCCATCTCAAAAAAAAAAAAAAAAGGAAAAGAAAATGATACAGGATCTGCCTCCAAGTAGCTTAACCTAATGGGAGTGGTGATTATATTATTACAAATACATTTTTATATTTATACCTATTTACTTATATACTTTTATAGATATATGCTTTAAACCATAAATACTTTTTTTTTTTTTTGGGAGATGGAATCAAGATGTCACCCAGGCTGGAGTGTAATGGCATGATCTTGGCTCACTGCAACCTCCGCCTCCCAGGTTCAAGTGATTCTCCTGCCTCAGCCTCCCAAGTAGCTGGGACTACAGGCACACACTGCCATACCCGGCTAAGTTTTTGTATTTTAGGAGAGACAGGGTTTCACCATGTTGCCAAGGCTAGTCTCGAACTCCTGAGCTCAGGCAGTTCACCTGCTTTGGCCTTCCAAAGTGCTAGGTTTATAGGCATGAGCCACCACTCCCGGCCTGGTTTCTCTGAGAAATTGATGAATGAGTGGAGATCTTAAGGGTGAGTAGCTCAGTAGACAGTATTCCCAGCAGACAGAATAATATGTGCAAAGACTGTATTAGGAAGAGAGGTGAGACACAGGCATCACTGTTTTTTAAAGCTTCAAGATGACTGCAGTGTCCAGCCAAACTTATGAATCACTGTTTTAAAATAACTTTTTTTTTTTTTTTCCAGAGGCAGGGTCTCGCCCTGTTACCCAGGCTGGAGTACAGTGGCATGAACAAGCTCATGCAGCCGCTACCTCCTGGGCTTGAGTGGATCCTCCTGGCTTAGCCTCCTGAGTAGCTGGGACCACAAGCAAGTGCCACCATAACTGGCTATTTTTTTTTTTTTTTTTTTTTTTGACATGGAGTCTTGCTCAGTCACCCAGGCTGGAGTGCAGTGGCGCGATCTCAGCTCACAGAAATTCGCTGAAACCCCCACCTCCTGGGTTTCAGCGAATTTCCTGCCTCAGCCTCCTGAGTGGCTGGGATTACAGGTGCCTGCTACCATGTGCAGCTGATTTTTGTATTTTTGGTAGAGATGGGGTTTCACCATGTTAGCTGGGCTGGTCTTGAACTTCTGACCTAGGTGATCTGCCTGCTTTGGCCTCCCAAAGTGCTGGGATTACAGGCATGAGCCACCACGCCTGGCCTTTTTTTTTTTTTTTAGTGTTTTTGTAAAGATGGGTTCTCGCTCAGTGATCCTCCAACCTTGGCCTCCCACTTTTGGGATTACAGGTGTAAGCCCCTGAGCCTAGCCTGGCTTTCTTACCATAGAATTTCCAGCTCTGTCATCAGTATTTCTGCACTCGATTTTCTCTTCTCACTATTTCCCTACTCAGTTTTCTCATCTGTCACCATCAGTTTCCTGAACCTTCCATTTCTCCACAACTAGAATTCTTATATTTGTTGGCCACCTAATCCACTTGGATTATCTCCCAAGCTGTGGCTCCCAACTCATGAGAACATCAAAAATCTGCTAAACCCAATGTTAGTTCTTAGTCTTCATTGTATTTGACCCAAAGTAAAATGGTATTTGACACAGTTGATCTTTCGCTCTTCCCTGAGATACCTTTAAAAAAAAAAACTTAGCTTCCTGGGTATCATACTTGCTTGTTTTTTTTTTCCTACTTGTCTTGCTACTGAGCCTCAGTTTCCTTTGTTGGTTCTTCCTCATCTTCCAGGCCTCTGACTGTTGGAGTGTTCTGTACCTCAGTCCTTAAATCTATATGCAATGACTCCTAAATTTGTGTCTTAACTTAGATCTCTCCCTTGAAGTCAGACTGCTGTATTGAAAAACTGCAGTAATCAACATGCAGTGAAGGTACATAATTATTTTTTGGCCAGGCGTAGTGGCTCATGCCTTTAATCCCAGCACTTTGAGAGGCCGAGGTGGGAGGATTGCTTGAGCTCAGGAGTTTGAGACCAGCCTGAGCAACATAGTGAGACCCCATCTGACACCTGTAACCCCAGCACTTTGGGAAGCCAAGGCAGGCGGAGCACCTGAGATTGGGAGTTGGAGACCAGCCTGACCAACATGGAGTAACCCAGTCTCTACTAAAAATCCAAAAAAAATTAGCTGGGCGTGGTGGTGCATGCCTGTAATCCCAGCTACTTGGGAGGCTGAGGCAAGAGAATCTCTTGAACCCGGGAGGTGGATGTTGTGGTGAGCTGAGATCGTGCCATTGATTTCCTGCCTGAACAACAAGGGCAAAACTCTGTCTAAAAAAAAAAATATATATATATACATATATATATGCAATAAAATTGGCTCAGAGCACGCCTATAATCCCAGCACTTTGGGAGGCCAACGTGTGCGGATCACTTGAGGCCAAAAGTTGGAGAGCAGCCTAGCCAACATGGTGAAAACCCCGCCTCTACTAAAAATACAAAAAAATTTAGCCAGGCGTGGTGGCAGACGCCTGTTGTCCCACCTACTTAGGAGGCTGAGGCAGGAGAATCATTTGAACCCGGGAAGTGGAGGTTGCAGTGAGCTGAGATTGTGCCACTGCACTCCACCCTGGACAATAGAGAGAGACTGTGTCTCAAAAAAAAAAAAAAAAAAAAAGCAATTGACTTAGAGTGTTTAACATTCTTCCAGTAACAAAAGTTCTTTAATTTTATATTCAAGGTAACTTGAGAATATATTTCACTTAAGAGATTTATAAAGTTGTTGGAACCAACCAAATGTGGGTAAAGGAAGAATAAAGTCTGATTTAGATTATTTTATATTTCCCTCTTACAGTTTTTTCTCATTTCACATTTCAGTGTTTTTTTTGAATTTATAAGAAAAAGTTCTGGGTGATTCAATGAACTGAACACTTTGAAAAATTTTATTAAATACCCATTTGTGTATGTGAATATGTAGTCCAAACCAGTTTGTGTAAATATGTTATACATGAATAGAAAGTTTAAAAAGCATTTAAAGAAGTAAAGTAATGGAGGCCGGGCGTGGTGGCTCATGCCTGTAATCCCAGAACTTCAGGAGGCCAAGGTCAGCTGATCACTTGAGGTCAGGAGTTTGAGAGCAGCCTGGCCAACGTGGCGAAATCCCGTCTCTACTAAAAGTACAAAAATTAGCCGGACTTGGTGGCAGGTGCCTGTAACCCCAGTTACTCGGGAGGCTGAGGCATGACAGTTGCCTGAACCCAGGAAGTAGAGGTTGCAGTGAGCTGAGATCCTGCCGCTGCACTCCAGTCTGGGCGACAGAGCGAGACCGTGTCTCAAAAAAAAAGGAAAAAAGGGCTGGGCGCGGTGGCTCACGCCTGTAATCCCAGCACTTTGGGAGGCCGAGGCGGGCGGATCACGAGGACAGGAGATCGAGACCATCCTGGCTGACACGGTGAAACCCCGTCTCTACTAAAAATACAAAAAAATTAGCCGGGCGTAGTGGCGGGCGCCTGCAGTCCCAGCTACTCAGGAGGCTGAGGCAGGAGAATGGCGTGAATCCGGGAGGCGGAGCTTGCAGTGAGCCGAGACTGCGCCACTGCACTCCAGCCTGGGCGACAGAGCGAGACTCCGTCTCAGAAAAAAAAAAAAAGGAAAAAAAAAAGAAAAGACATGAAGTAATGGAAGTAAAGAAACTTTTATTATTATTTCAACAATCTTAGAAATTCTTAATATGTGCCCTTGCGTCATGTGACACATATCAATACTGTAGTCTAATTCATTTCAGACTCTTGTAGCATATCCTATTAATGGTTGAAATGTCAGCCATGATACATCCCTTCATTTCCTCAAAGCTGCATATTCCAATGTGAGTATTATAGGCTTTTTTGTTTTTTGATAATCAAGAGTCTCACTCTGTTGCCCATCATGGAGTGCTGTGGCACAGTCATGGCTTACTGCAGCCTCAAATTCCTGGGCTCAAGCAGTCCACTTCAGTCTCCCAAGTAGCTGGGATTACAGGCATGCACCATCACACGCAACTGATTTTTATTTTATTTTATAGAGACAGGGTATTACTATGTTCCCCAGGCTGGTTTTGAACTCCTGGGCTCAAGTGATCCTCCTGCCTCTACCTCCCAAAGTGCTGGGATTACAGGCATGAGCCATCTTGCCTGGCTGAATATTATATGTTTATATAAAACTTTGTTACTGAGTAATATATTTTTAAAATATTTGATTACTTTTGTGTCACACTGTATAATGTTACTGCCAAAAAAGACTAAATCTTCCCCTTATTATGAGATAGTCTCTCTGAATGACATTTTTTGGCATTTTTTAAAACTTTATTGTAAAATAAAACAGAGACAAAGACGATAAATAATTATGTAGCTTAAGTTGAAATAAAAGTGGACACACTTGAAACCATCACTCAGGTTAAGTAACAGAACTTTGTCAGCTACCCCAAAGCTCACTTCGGCCTCCCAAAGTGGTGGGATTACAGGTGTGAGCCACTACACCTGGCCATGTCCTTTCATTTCTTCATAATTTTATGACCCAGCTATTTAGGCACCTGGATAATCTTGCCCATTTAAAACAATTTGATGTCTTTTGAGTATCTTTTAGTTTATAGGTTCCTCCTCCATCCCTTTCTTTTCCTTATAATTTGTTTATTGAAGAATCTATCATTATGATTTGTAGAGTTTCCCTAAGTCTGGATTTTATTGTATTTGTTGCTGTTTTGTAGAGACAGGGTCTTGCTTTGTTGCCCAGGCTGGTCTGGAACTCCTGGGCTTAAAGTGATCCTCCTGCCTCAGCCTCCGAAAATGCTGGGATTACAGATATAAGCCACTCTGCCAGCCTGGATTTTGCTGATTGTATACTAATGGTGCATCTTCCTCTTATTTTCTGCAAATTGGTAGCTGGATTTGGAGGCTTAATTAGACTTAACGTTTTATCCCTTTGGCCAGACCCTTAGGTGTTGTATTCTTACATTATGAGGTACATAAATATCTAGTAGTTTGTCTTTCTGTGATGTTAGCAGTTATTGACACTTAGTAGCTAGATCTATCAATTCACTCAGAATTATGGTGATATTTTAATCATTTATTTTTCTCTTACTAATTGGATTATTTTTATAAAGAGCCACTTTCTGTTACCTATATTTGGTTGCCCAGTGGCACATGAACCACATTTTAAGATAAATATATTATCTTAAAATAATATACTTTTGGGCCGGGCGTGGTGGCTCACACCTGTAATCCCAGCACTTTGGGAGGCTGAGGCAGGTGGATCATGAGTTCAGGAGATCGAGACCATCCTGGCCAACACGGTGAAACCCCCTGTCTCTACTAAAAATACAAAAAGTTAGCCGGGCGTGGTGGCGGGTGCCTGTAGTCCCAGCTATTCAGGAGGCTGAGGCGGGAGAATGGTGTGAACATGGGAGGCAGAGCTTGCAGTGAGCTGAGATCGAGCCACTGCACTGCAGCCTGAGCAACAGAGCAAGACTCCATCTCAAAAAAATAAAAATAAAATAAAATAATATACTTTTATGTTAGGAATCCCTAGAAAGACTTAAGTTTAAACAGAACCTCTTGGTGCTGAAAAGGAGCATGATAAATCTGGAGAAATTAATGGATACATTTATTTGATGAATACTTATGGAGTACATATTCTGAGCCAAGCATAATGCTAGCTATTGGGGTACAATGGTGAATAGATCAATCCAGTGGGGGATTATGATAGCTATGAAAGAGATGTTTCAGGGGACCTAATTTAAATCAGTGGCTCAAAAAGACTTCTCTAAGAAAGTGTCCTTAACTTGAATAAGGAAGAATGAGTAGAAATTAGTCAGGCAAAGAGAGAAAGGAAGTTTTCAGTCAGAAAGGACATTGTATGAGTGGTGTTTTACTGAGAAAAAGCTTGACTTACGGAAAGATGAGGAAAAAAGGGGTATATAGCTAAAACATTGTGAGCTGGGGGAGAGGAGTAAGAGGCAGATAGGATCCTCATCAAGTGGTAGGGCCTTATAAATAGTGTTAAATATCTTGGGATTTATTTTAGGTATAATACAGAAAATTTCACCCATGGTCTTATGCTAGGTTCTGAGTTTATCTAATATACATCTCTTCAAGAAAAATACACCTTTTTAAGATGACTAATCTGGATAGATTGGAAAGTATAATCATTTTTATTTGATTCCAGCTTTACATAACTATCCTAGATGCCATGTATACAAATTATATTTATTTATTTATTTAGAGACAGAGTCTTGCTGTGTTGCCCAGGCTGGAGTGCAGTGGTACGATCTCAGCTCACTGTAACCTCCGCCTTCTTGGTTCAAGCAATTCTTCTGCCTCAGCCTCCTGAGTAGCTGCGATTACAGGCGTGCACCACCACGCTTGGCTAACTTTTTTATTTTTAGTAGAGATGGGGTTTCACCATGTTGGCTAGGGTGGTTTTGAACTCCTGACTTCACATGATCCACCCACCTTGGCCTCCCAAAGTACTGGGATTACAGGCATGAGCCACCACACCTGGCCACAAATGATATTTAGATAGAGAAAGAGAGAGAATTCTAAAAGCTAATCTGGTTATGTTCACAGGTGTCTGGAGAAGCCAATGAAACTCAGATTGCAGAAGCACTGAAGCGTTACAGTGAACGGGCATTCTTTGTTCGGGAAGCTCTATTTCATCTTTTTAGTCTGACTCATGTGATGGAAAAAACAAAGCCAGAAATTTTAAAGGTAAGAATAAGAAACTGGATATGAAATTTTTGAAACGATTTCCCTGGGCAGATGATTTTTTGAAGAAAATTGGTGAAAATTTGCATTTAGGGCCAGGCACGGTGGCTCAAGCCTGTAATCCCAGCACTTTGGGAGGCTGAGACGGGCGGATCATGAGGTCAGGAGATCGAGACCATCCTGGCTAACACGGTGAAACTCCGTCTCTACTGAAAAATACAAAAAAAAAAAAACTAGCCAGGCGAGGTGGCGGGCGCCTGTAGTCCCAGCTACTTGGAAGGCTGAGGCAGCAGAATGGCGTAAACCCGGGAGGTGGAGCTTGCAGTGAGCTGAGATCCGGCCACTGCACTCCAGCCTGGGCGACAGAGCAAGACTCCGTCTCAAAAAAAAAAAGAAAAAAGAAAATTTGCATTTAGTCTTTTTTTATTATTTATAATATGATTGATGACGTGTGATTTCAATTATTAGCCACAAACGAGAGAGAATATAGTTGTACAATGTTATTGAAGTTTTATAGTAGTCTCATTAAGCATATAAATGTCTTGTACATATTTATCTACCTAAAACCAGTGACCACCATGATATTTTGTCACCAGCTACTGTAGAAAATGAAAGTATATGACTGGGATCAGGACACTGTTTTGTATATTAACCCTATGTTGTTTCCCAAATAGATTTTTTTAGAAATACAATATTGGGCCAGGTGTGGTAGTTGATGCCTGTAATCCCAGCACTTCAGGAGGCTGAGACAGATGGGTAGCTTGAGCCCTAGAGTTCGAGACCAGCCTGAGCAACATAGCAAAACCCCATTTCTACAAAAAGTATTAAAAAATACAAAAAAAGAAAGAGAGAAATAAAGCAAGCAGATATCGGAATTCCACAAGGCACTTTTCCATGCTGTTTAGAACCTACTGTGCATTCTTAACTGATTTACATTACTCCCCAATTAAGTTAAAAAAAATTTTTTTTTAAGTCATAGGGTCTTACTGTGTTCCCCAGGCAAGAGTGCAATGGCTGTTCACAGACCTCAAACTCCTGGGCTCAAGCAATCCTGTCTCAGCCTCCCAAGTAGCTAGGACTACAGGTGTACATCACAGCACCCAGCTATTTTAACCAAGACAGCTTTTGAAGGGCAAGAAAGGAGATTTCTTAATTTTATTGAATGCTTAGGGCAACATTTATCAAAATGTGGTCCTTTGGGCCAGGACACAGTGGCTCACACCTATAATAACTTTGGGAAGCTGAGGCAGGCAGGTCACCTGGGGCCAGGAGTTCTAGACCAGCCTGACCAACATGGCGAAACCCCATCTCTACTAAAAATACAAAAAATTAGCCGAGCGTGGTAGTGCACGCCAGTAATCCCAGCTACTCAGAAGACTGAGGCATGAGGAACCTGGGAGGCCGAGGTTACGGTGAGCCGAGATCATGCCACTGCACTCCAGCCTGAGGAACAGAGCAAGACTCTCTCAAAAAAAAAAAAAAAAAAAAAAGTGGTCCTTTGACCACTACAAGTCTAGGATATTGCTTATTTAAAAAGCATATTTGTGACCAGGCATGGTGGCTCACCCTTGTAATCCCAGTACTTTGGGAAACCAACGCAGGCAGATCACTTGAGCTCAGGAGTTCAAGGCCAGCCTGGGCAACATGGCAAAACCCTATCTCTACAAAAATTAGCCAGGTGTGGTGGCACACACCTGTAGTGCCAGCTACGTGGGACACTGAGGCAGGAGAGTTGCTCGAGCCTGGGAGGCAGAGGTTGCAGTGAGCCGAGATCATGCTACCACACTCCAACCTGGGTGACAGGAGTGAAACCTTGTCTGAAAAAAAAAAAAAAAAGATATTTGTAATCCCCACCCCCCAAAATTTAGATTCAGTAGGGCTAGATGAGGCACAGGAATCTGCATTTTAATAAGCCCCCAAGATAATTCCAAGGTAATTCTTATGCACATTCAGTTTTGAAAACCAATGAGCATAGGACTATATTTGCCACCTTGTTTAGTGGGCACAATTCCAAGAGATGAGTTTTATCTTCTGTTTTACAGATTATGAAATTGAGGTTCTGTGACATTAAGTAATAATAAGTCAGTGGCAGAGCCACAACTTGACATCCTACATACCTTAAATTCTGAGAATGAGGTGCTTGGGTAGGAACCAGTAACATTTTAGTCCTTAGGATATTATCACCAACACCTATCACTCCTTTTATATATATCAGAGGATGTTGGCACTTCGTATATGAATTGTCTTTTTTTTTGGTTTTGTTTTTTTTTTTTTTGAGATGGAGTCTCGCTCTGTTGGCCAGGCTGGAGTGCAGTGGCGCGATCTCGGCTCACTGCAAGCTCCGCCTCCCGGGTCCACGCCATTCTCCTGCCTCAGCCTCCCGAGTAGCTGGGACTACAGGCGCCCGCCACCTCGCCTGGCTAATTTTTTGTATTTTTAGTAGAGACGGGGTTTCACTGTGGTCTCGATCTCCTGACCTTGTGATCCGCCCGCCTCGGCCTCCCAAAGTGCTGGGATTACAGGCGTGAGCCACCGCGTCCGGCCCTTTTTTTTTGGTTTTGATTACTGTGAACTGAGCAACAAAGGACTAGATCTGTAGTCTTGATCTGAAATATTCATTCAGACATTCAGAGAATGATTCGGAGATAAATGAAAGAATATAGGCTATTTATTTATTTATTTATTTATTGAGGTAGCATCTTACTCTGTCACCCATGCTGGAGTGCAGTGGCATGATCATGGTTCACTGCAGCCTTGACCTCCCTCCTGGGCTCAAATGATCCCCCTGCCTCAGCCTCCAGAGTGGCTGGAACTACAAGCGTATAACACCATGCCTGGCTGAATTTTAAAATTTGTTATTATTATTGTTTTTTTTTTTTTTTGTAGTGACGGAGACCCACTATGTTGCCCAGGCTGGTCTCAAATTCCTGGGCTCAAGTGATTCTCCCGCCTTGGCCTCCCAGAGTGTTGGGATTATAGGAGTGAGCCACTTTTATTTTATTTTTTTAAAGATACAGGATCTAGCTGTATTGCCCAGGCTGGAGTGCAGTGGTACACGATCATAGCTCACTGCAACCTCAAACTCTTGAGCTCAAGCAATCTTCTGCCTCAACCTCCTAAACATCTGGGACTATAGGTGTGTGCCATCACACCTGGCTAATTTTTAAAATTTTAAAAAATAAATAAATTTATTTATTTATTAGGCTCCAGCAATCCTCCTGCCTAAGCCTCTCGAGTAGCTAGGACTACAGGCCCATGCAACCACACCTGGCTAATTTTGTAGAGACAGGGTCACACTATGTTGCACAAGCTAATTTTTAAAAATTTTTTGTAGAGAGAGGTTCTTGCTGTGTTGCCCAGGCTAGTCTCGAATTCCTGACCTCAAGTGATCCTCCTGCCTTGAGCTCCCAGAGTTCTGTAATTACAGGCATGAGCCACTACACCTAGCCTAGGCAATTCCTTTTTTTTTTTTTTGAGACTGAGTCTCACTCTATTGCCCAGGATGGAGTGCAGTGGCACTATCTCAGCTCACTGCAACCTCCGCCTCCCATGTTTAAGCGATTCTTCTGCCTCAGCCTCCCGAGTAGCTGGGATTATAGGCACCCGCCACCACGCCCGGCTAATTTTTGTATTTTTAGTAGAGACGAACAAGGTTTCACCATGTTGACCAGGCTGGTCTCGAACTCCTGATCTCAAGTGATCCACCTGCCTCGGCCTCCCAAAGTGCTGGGATTACAGGCATGAGCCACCATGCCTGGCCAAGGCAATTCTTATAGGGAATTTTGCTGCAAAGGAGAGCAAAGAAAAAAGATGGTAATTGTTTGAGTAAGTGAGATTAAAAGAGGAATGTTTTGATTTTTTTTAACAGGAAAAATGTATCTTGTTATATCCTGATATGAATGATCCAGTACAGAATAAAAAATTGATATAGGAGTAGGAGGGGTGAACAGCTTCCCTTCAGTAGACAAGAAAATAATGATCTAACATATACATGGAGGGATTTGTTTTACAAAGGACCCCAAAAGATTCCTTATGGTAGCAGGCAGGAAGGTGATGTATATATACGTATGCTGGTAAGTAGGATACATGTGGTAATGAGAATCTGAAATTCTTTTCTGGTTGCTTCAGTTTTTCTTTTCTTTTTTTTTTTTCTCTTTTCCTTAGAGGCAGGGTCTCACTCTGTCCCCCAAGCTGAAGCACAGTGGCACAACCATGACTCACTACAGGCTCTGCCTCCCAGGGCTCAGGCGATCCTCCCACCTCACCTCTCAAGTAGATGGGACTATAGGCATGCACTACCATGCCCAGCTTCATATATGTATGTGTGTGTGTGTGTATATATACGCGCGCGCGCGTGTGTGTGTGTGTATATATATATATATAGAGAGAGAGAGAGAGAGAGAAGGATGGAGTTTCGCCTTTGTCACCCAGGCTTGAGTGCAATGGTGTGCTTTTGGCTCACTGCAACCTCTGCCTCCTGGGTTAAAGCAGTTGTCCTGCTTCAGCCACCCAAGTAGCTGGGATTACGGGCATGCGCCACCATGCCCAGCTAATTTCTGTGTTTGTTTTTTCTTTCTTTCTTTCTTTTTTTTTCTTTTTTGAGATGGAGTCTCACTGTGTCGCCCAGGCTCTAGTGCAGTGGTGCAATCTCGGCTCACTGCAAGCTCTGCCTCCCAGGTTCACGCCATTCTCCTGCCTCAGCCTCCCAAGTAGCTGGGACTACAGGTGCCTGCCACCACACCCAGCTAATTTTTTGTATTTTTAGTAGAGACAGGGTTTCACCATGTTAGGCAGGATGGTCTCGATCTCCCGACCTTGTGATCCACCCACCTTGACCTCCCAAAGTCCTGGGATTACAGGTGTGAGCCACCGCTCCTGGCACCCAGCAAATTTTTGCACTGTTTTATACAGATGGGGTTTCACCGTGTTGCCCAGGCTGGCAGTTTTCTTAGTGTAGTTGAAAGCAAGATCTTCAGCTGATAGTGAAGAATGGGAAGGATTCGTTGGGGGTTTGAGGTCAGAGGAAAAAGTGAGAAATAGTTGTCTAGACCAGGGGAAGTGAATGGATTTTATTGCACTCTAACCTCAGCAGTGTTCTCAAGGAACTGAAGATTGAGATTTGAGAATGAAGTTATGCTCTATTCAAGTCAGTGAGAATTTATTCACTGCCTTCCATGTAACAGGCACCATAAGTAGGTCTTAGAAATACAGGCCGGGTGCAGTGGCTTAAGCCTGTAATCCCAGCACTTTGGGAGGCCGAGACGGGTGGATCACTAGGTCAGGAGATCGAGACCATCCTGGCTAACACGGTGAAACCCCGTCTCTACTAAAAAAAATACAAAAAGCTAGCCGGGCGAGGTGACGGGTGCCTGTAGTCCCAGCTACTCGGGAGGCTGAGACAGGAGAATGGTGTGAACCCGGGAGGCGGAGCTTGCAGTGAGCTGAGATCCGGCCACTGCACTCCAGCCTGGGCGACAGAGCGAGACTCTGTCTCAAAAAAAAAAAGAAAAGAAATACAAAGATGAGTGACCTGTGTTGAAAAGATTTATTAGCTTTACAGAAAACCTCTAGATATGAATAGCTGAATACCTGCCTTGATGAGGTAGACTGGAACTATTTGTGAGTAACTTGCTATATCCTAGGCTGTTTGCACATGAGGATGTAAAAGAAACTTACGACATCTTTGAAGTTACTACAGACCAACAAAATAATGCTGCTCTGTGAAGAGGGCTTGTATTTATAAGGTGAATTAAGAGGACTCTTTTTTTTTTCCAGCTTGTGGTTACTGGGATGAGAAACCACCCTATGAATTTGCCAGTGCAACTGGCTGCAAGCGCCTGTGTATTTAACTTAACCAAGCAGGATCTTGCTGCAGGAATGCCTGTCCGACTCCTGGCTGATGTGACCCATTTGCTACTCAAAGCCATGGAACATTTTCCCAATCACCAGCAGGTAAGCTTATGTGAATTCCTTTTCAAATAGTCCTTGTAGTGTCTTCTACTCATCTCCTACAGTTTAATAGTTTAATAGACCAAGTTTAATAGACCAAGGCTTCAAATTCAAATGCCTTTGGAGGCTGTGGTATGACTGAGTGTAAGAAAACAGAGAAGTGGACACCAAAGGAGTATATTCCATGCCTAAAATCACCTAAATCCATTTATTGGGGGACCTAGTACAAGCCATATAAAACTCATCTTCCTCCTAGATCTTGAGTTTGTGATCATTTCAACAGATAGGCACAGAGGATCTCTTCTGGGCTAGGCACTATCAAATGCTGGGATATAGAAATGATTAAGACGTGTCTTTTCCATTTCTAGCAGTATGGTAGAAGGTGTAACCTGTCAGGATGAATACTAAAAATGTTGCTTAAATTTTTTTTTTTTGAAGCGGAGTCTTGCTCTGTTGCCAGGCCGGAGTGCAGTGGCGCAATCTCAGCTCACTGCAACCTCCGCCTCCCAGGTTCAAGCGATTCTCCTGCCTCAGCCTCCCGAGTAGCTGGGATTACAGGCGCCTGCCACCACACCCAGCTCATTTTTGTATTTTTAGTAGAGACGAGGTTTCAACATGTTGGCCAGGATGGTCTCAATCTCTTGTCTTTGTGATCTGCCCACCTCAGCCTACGAAAATGTTGGGATTACAGGCGTGAGCCTGCTCACCCGGCCCTGAAATTTTTTTTTTTAGGTCATTTGAAATTGACCATTGAGTTGGCAAGTTAGTAAAAAATACTCAGAGGCCCAAAACCAAGTAAAAATGGCAAACCACATTGGTGAGTGGATCATTAAAGCCGGCTTCCCTCATTGAGGGCAGTTGCCAAACTAGATGAAATTTAGGCTTTGATTGTCATGGCCTCTGGAAGCCCATCAGACAGAAGACTCCTAGTATAAAGCTATGACTTCCTCCCCAAAGATACATTCTTACTAAAAAGGAGCTATAAATAAGTCTGCCTATGGTAGAGAAACAACAAAAGAATAAGCCCAAAGAAAGTAGAAGGAATAACAAAGATGAAAGTAAAAATTAATAAAATAAAAAACATACCATTATTTTAGAGAGGATCAATAATTCCAAGAATTGATTCTTCAAACATATTTAATAATATTGAAAACTCATTGGCAAAGTTGATCAGGGAAAAATGAGAAAGGATGCATATAAAATAAATAAGGTTAGGAAATGGGGTGGGGGAAATGGGAAGTCACTGTATTGGGTATTGAGTTTCCTTCTAGGGTGATGAAAATGTTTGGGATGATGAAATTGTTATGGTCGCACAACTCTGTGACTATACTAGAATCCATCAAATTGTACACTTTAAATAGGTGAATTGTATGGTACATGAACTGTATCTCAATAAAGCTGTTATATATTTTTAAAAACAATGTTCACAGTAGGCCAGGCATGGTGGCTCATGCCTGTAATCCCAGCACTTTGGGAGGCCGAAGTAGAAGGATCACTTGAGCCCAGGAGTTCAAGACCAACCTGGGCAACATAGTGAGGCCCTGTCTCTACAAATAATAAAAAAAATTAGCCCGGCACGGTGGCACACATCTGTGGTCCCAACTACTCAGGAGCCTAAAGAGTACATGCCTAAAAGCATTTAAATCCATATGTGGAGGAATTGTTTGAGCCAAGCACTCAAGGCTGCAGTGAGCTGTGATTCAGCCACTGCACTCCAGTCTGTGCAACAGAGCAAGACCTTGTCTCAAAACAAACAAACAAAAAAGAATGTTCGAGCCGGGCGTGGTGGCTCACGCCTGTAATCCCAGCACTTTGGGAGGCCGAGGCGGGCAGATCACATGAGGTCAGGAGTTTGAGACCTGCCTGACCAACATGGAGAAACCTCTACTAAAAATACAAAATTATCCGGGCGTGGTGGCACACGCCTATAATCCCAGCTACTCTGGAGACTGAGGCAGGAGAATTGCTTGAACCTGGGAGGAAGAGGTTGCAGTGAGCCAAGATTGCACCATTGAACTCCAGCTTGGGCAACAAGAGTGAAACTCCATCTCAAAAAAAAAAAGAAGTTCACAGTAGCACTGTGTAACTGTGTATAATGATAACAAATTGGAAACACCAAACACCAAATGTCCATCAGCCTGTGTTTAGTCACACATCAGAATACTTAAAAGCAGTGAATGATGAATGAATTACAATTCCAGATGACAACCTTGATCAATCTCAATTACAAGTTGGGTATTAAAAATGCAGAAGAGTACATACATGTGATTCAATTTACTTGCAGTTCAGAAACTTGCAAAACTATATGGCACATTATTTAGGAATATAAATACATGTTTTGATAAAAAGCAAGGGACTGTTAAACACAAAATTTAGACTAGTAGTTCCTCTGAGGGGAAATGAGAGGGAAAAGAGGGGGCCAAATGGGGCTTGCTAATAGTACTATTGGTAATAGATTCTTTTTCTGAAACTGAGTGGTAGGTACACCTACACAGTGGTAGTATTCACTGTATTGTTATTCCTTACACTCTTGCTACTCAAAGTGTGTTCTGCTAACCAGCTGTGTTGGCATCCCCTACAAGCTTGTTAGTAAGGCAGAATCTCGAGAGCCCAGACTTACAGAATCATTTTATAAAGATCTCCAAGTGATTTGTGTACACATTAAAGTTTGAGAAGCACTGCCTTATGCCTACATATATTTTGTAAATTTTTTTTGTATTTCTTATTTAGTAAAAACATTTAAAAACAATTCAATTAAAAAAAAAAAAACAAACCCTGGGAACTCACCTATTAGTTGGAAATGCAAATACAGTAAACTATTATGTAAATTGTCTTCAGCTATTTTAACTAAGTGCTACAGAAACTTGAGAATGATTAATTCTGCCACCTGGATTGGTGTATGGACAAGGTACCAGGCAGGATATCAAAGGGGAAGTGACATTGACTCACATCTTGAAAAATGAAAAAGATTTCCCATGGAGAAAAGCAGAAAAACAGTGGACCTATATGTGAATGTGCAGGCATTCCAGGAAGGGCAAGTTGCGTGTGACTGGAGTGTAGGAAGGGCAGTGTAGGATGAGGCCAATGATGACCAGATTAGGGCCAGATTTGATGAATGCCAGCACAGGAAATTTTGATTCCACATTGAATTCCTTAAAAACAAACCAAAAAAAAAAATTTAAAGAAAATTCCTGAATACTTGCATAGTTCAGACTGTAGCCCCCAAAATCAAAACTCTAGCTGGGCGGAAATTGAAGACTACAGCAGAAGTCTTCCTCTTTTCCATTTCTGCCTGTGGTGCTTTTCAAGTGCAGTCGGTGAAATTTATCTTCTGTTATTAATTTAGCCATTAGTTCAGTTAAGCTTAGCGCTTTGTTGAATTCAGACTGTGTGCACCTGTACTGAGTTCTAAGCATTCAGATATAGGAACACATAATGTAGCATAGTGTAGCAAGTACTGAGAGAAACAAGTGCTGTTGGGAGCCCAGGAGGGGCACTTAGGACAATTTGAAAATTAGAGGCTGTACACTGTAGCTTGCCTTTAATCCCAGCACTTTGGGAGGCTGAAGCAAGAGGATCACTTGAGCGCCAGGAGTTTGAACCTGCAGTGAGCTATGATTGTGCCGCTGCATTCCAGCCTGGGTGACAGAGCGAGACCCTGTCTCAAAAACAAACAAGCAAAAAACATTAAGAAGTCTTCCTCAATGAGGTAATATCTCTGCCCTGAGTTGAATTGTGAAGCAAAATTAAGCGTTTTCCAGCTAAAAGAACAGGAGGGATGGGCTTTCTAAGCGGAGGTAATTAGAATAGCATTATTGCCTTTCTTACTTCTATGGATCTTGTACAAATTATTGTGTTTATTTGGGAGGAGAAAAATGGTGAAGGAGGAAAGTTATGCCACTAATCAATCTGCCAGATTATGATTCATATTTTAGGGGAGGTAAATGGATCCTCAAGCAGAGTCTGTCCTAGCACCTTGACCATCTGAGATGAATATAAAACTTCCTGAGAAACCTCTTAATTAATTACACTTGTACCTAACCCATTCCGTATCATTCACCTGGGATTTACTACCACTTTGCCTTTTCTCTGCCATTTCTTCTATTATGTAATCTTTCTACATCTTCCATGAAGCAAATAGGGTGTTCATTTTATATGTTTTTCTATTTCTTGACTAGCTGTATATATCCCATTAATCTGACTTTTGCCTTCTATGATTGAATTCCCTACATTAAGTCTTCTTTAGGTAAGAAATCTTCCAGTTGTACACTAAAGCCTTTAAAAAATATCAAAGCCATGTGTCCAAATAAAAAAAAAATTGGTAGTATATATATACTATGACTTTTTTTTTTTAAGCCCACACTTATTTTCTTATTTTGCTTCACAGGAATAACTTGAATCACCTTTCTATTATGATGGTGCACCTTGACTGTGTCAAGTAATTATTCATATTTTCATTTACTCTTGTTTAATTGTGCTGGTCTAAACTTTGTTTAAAAGATAGAGCCAAGTCTATCAGTCACTCTTTAGAAGCCAATGTGTAGAGCACTACCCCCCGTGTACTCTATGTTAGAGTCTTCCAAGCAGGCTCGTCTATATTCTTTGATTCTATGTCAACAGGTAAAACTTTCAGCCACTGTTTTTGTCATTCTCTGTACCTCAAAAAATACAGAAGACAAGGTTACTTCATAGGCCACCAGAAACAAGGAGATTAGCTGTAGTTATCCTATTTATTGCCCTATTTCTCATCTAATGGAAAAGGAAAAAAAAAAAGGTACAAGTAAATTTGTATGGGTCTCCTGGAAGTCAGCCTTTCAATACTAGGGGGGCAGATAAAGGTTGTAAGAAATAACTGGTGTTGGCCGGGCGCAGTGGCTCAAGCCTGTAATCCCAGCACTTTGGGAGGCCGAGATGGGCGGATCATGAGGTCAGGAGATCGAGACCATCCTGGCTAACCCCGTGAAACCCCGTCTCTACTAAAAAATACAAAAAACTAGCTGGGCGAGGTGGCGGGCACCTGTAGTCCCAGCTACTCGGGAGGCTGAGGCAGGAGAATGGCGTAAACCCGGGAGGCGGAGCTTGCAGTGAGCTGAGATCCGGCCACTGCACTCCAGCCTGGGCGACAGAGCGAGACTCTGTCTCAAAAAAAAAAAAAAAAGAAATAACTGGTGTTTCATCAGTCTTCTTTATATATATATATATAAGCTACCTTGGTTCAAAGATAACAAAGTGATATTTTATTTAGGATTTTTTTTCTTCCTTTGATTTTTTAGTTACAGAAGAATTGCCTCCTTTCACTTTGCAGTGACCGGATCCTTCAAGATGTTCCATTTAACAGGCAAGTGATAGTTCTAGAACTTAATGTGGGGCAAACCAGAATGTTAGAAATCTGTCTTGGATCATTTCTTACCCTTTAGGATATCTCTTTTATAAGATTAATTGAGTAGATAGAATTGAGGGTTATTTTGTAGAATGCTAAATCTACTTTCTTTAATTTAGTGCTTTGACATTCATGATAGCAAATTGACCCATTGTCCTTTGCTTAGGAATTTATATTGGTTATAGTTTTCAAGATATCCACATAATATTGTAAGCTATGAGCATTATTATCCCCATTCAAAAGATAAAAAAACTAAGACATATATAGAGATTGTCTTGACTAGGGCTTTGTGACTAATAACCGCAAGGTTAGAAAGATGCGGGTCTGGCTGGGTGCAGTGGCTCACGCCTATAATCCCAACACTTTGGGAGGCCAAGGCGGGAGTATCCCCAGGTCAGGAGTTCGAGACCAGCCTGGTGAAACCCTGTCTCTACTAAAGATACAAAAAATTGCCGGGTGTGGTGGTGCATGCCTGTAATCCCAGCTACTCGGGAGACTGAGGCAGGAGAATCACTTGAACCCGGGAGGTGGAGGTTGCAGTGAGCCAAAATCATGCCATTGCACTCCAGCCTGGGTGACAGGGCAAGATTCTGTCTCAAAAAAAAAAAAAAAAAAGACGTAGGTCTTCTAATTCTAGGTCCAGTGTTTTTTCTTTTTTTCTTTTTTTTTTTTTTTTTTGGTAACATATTCTTATCATTATTTGGTATTGAATTATGGAAGAAACTTTTTAAGGAGCAGTTAAGGGAGGCCATATATCTAGATTCCATTAAATATTAAGGGGACCTTTATTTTCTAAGATGTTATTTTGGAGCTTAAAAAGTGTTTTTTTATTTTACTATTTTAAAACATAATTTTTCTTTTTCTTTTTTTTGAGACAGGGTCTCACTCTGTCACCCAGGCTGGAGTGCAGTGGTGCAATCTGAGCTCACTGCAACCTCCTCCTCCTGGTTTTAAGTGATTCTCCTACCTCAGCTAACTGAGTAGCTGGGACTACAGGCATGTGCCACCACGCTGGGCCAATGTTTGTATTTTTTGGCACAGTCAAGATTTCACCATGTTGGCCAGGCAGGTCTCAAACTCCTGACCTCAAGTGATCCACCCACCTCGGTCTCCCAAACTGCTGGGATTACAGGTATGAGCCACCATGCCTGGTCTTAAAATATAATTTTTTCATGATGGCATTTTGAAAAGGAAATTTATACCTCATTATTTAATGAAAAGTATGTTTCTCCAGCAGCAATTTCATTTTTTTTGAGACAGAGTTTCACTCTTGTTGCCCAGGCTGGAGTGCAATGGTGCAATCTCAGCTCACTGCAACCTCTGCCATCCGGGTTCAAGCGATTCTCCTGCTTTAGCCTCCCAAATAGCTGAGATTACAGGCATGTGCCATCATACCCAGATAATTTTTGTATTTTTGGTAGAGATGGGGTTTCACCTTGTTGGCCAGGCTGGTCTTGAACTCCTGACCTCAGCTGATCCATCCACCTCAGCCTCCCAAAGTGCTGGGATTACAGGCATAAGCCCCCACGCCTGGCCTTCAAGCAGCAATTTTACTGTGATTTTTTTTTATTTGAAATAAGCAATTTGGATGAAAATATAACTACATATATCTCATGTAGATTGCTAATTTTATTTTGGAAATATTGAACCTCTGTGCTCATCATTGTAACAAAGTCTAGGTAGGAAAGACATAGTCACTCTCCTAAAGATTATATTCTACTCCTTAATGTTTATTCTTAAAGGGCTAGATTATAAATACTCTAGGCCTATGGGCTATAGAGTCTCTGTTGCAGCTATTTTAACTCTGCTGTTGTCCCTCAAAAGCAGCCATAGGTAATATATAAGCAAATGGATATTGCTGTGTTCCAACAGAACTTTACAAAACAGGCAGCCAGATCCACAGGCTGTATAGTTTGCCTACCTCTCATCTAGCAAATGTACTGTGCTAGAATTGACCTTCTTTGTGGTCAGAGGCTATGATTGGTTCATCACTTTGTCTCTAGTGCCTGGGTGGATATTTAATGGATTGATGGATGAATGAATGAATGAATATTACATGAGACATAATTTTTCATAGAAGAGGTGTTAATGAAATGCATTGGGCCCCCACACAAGGAAGGAAAGATTCTGTCTGACTGATGATCATTAAGGATTTCATGTTTGTTATGGCACTTGAGATAAAAATGGTAAAAACTAACATGTATGAAGCACTTACTACTGCCAGGCAGGCGTTGTGCCAAAGTGTTTTATGTATGCTTATTCAGTCCTCAGAACAATCCTGTGAAATCATTACTCTTATGATCTTAATTTTTCAGATGAGGAAATAGAGACACAGAAAGGATTAGTAACTTGCCTGAGGTAATAAGATAGTAAGTAGCAGAGTCTAGATTTAAATTCAGTCTGACTCCAGGTCCTCCATTTTTTCATCCATGCTATGTTGCTTTGAAGATGAGAGCTGGTTGAATTGTTTTATGGGTGTGAGCCACCACGCCCAGCCTGGAATCAGTTTTTATTACTATTTTACAGATAAGAATATTGAAGTTCAGAGAGGTTAAGGAATTTGGTCAGAGTCCCAAAGTTAGACCGGGCGCGTGGCTCATGCATGTAATCCCAGCACTTTGTGAGGCCAAGACAAGTGGATCACTTGAGGTCAGGAGTTGTAGAGCAGCCTGGCCAACATGGTGAAACGCTGTCTGTACTGAAAATACAAAAAATTAGCCAGGTGTGATGGCAGCTCCTAGCTACTCAGGAGGCTGAGGCAGGAGAATCGCTTGAACCCAGGAGACAGAGGTTGCAGGGAGCCAAGATTGTGCCACTGCACCCCAGCCTGGGCAACAAGAGTGAAACTCCTTCTCAAAAACAAACAAAAAGTTAATAAGTGGTGGAGCTGATATTTGAATCCAGGCTGACTCCAAAGTGTATGATGTTCTTAACAACTTGACTACATTGCCTCACATGAGAAAATAATTTTATTTTATTTTATTGTTATCATTAACATTAAGTAGGACTAGAATTCAAACCCAGAACTGACTGGAGAATCTCTACACTTTACCACTAGCCTGTGTTACCTCATACTTGTGGGCATGTGTGAAGACTAATGAACAATCCACTTTGCAGAAAGCATAGGGTAGGCAGGAAAAAAGCTTGATATGGCCCCACGCTAAAGTCCTAGAATGCTGTGAGTACGGGAGTGACATCATACTTAAGTCCTCAGACAGGTTTATTTGTTTCCTTCCTTCCTTCCCTCCCTCCCTCCCTCCCTCCCTCCCTCCCTCCCTTCCTTCCTTCCTTCCTCCCTCCCTCCCTCCCTCTCTCTTTTTTTTTTTTTGATGGAGTCTTGCTCTGTCATCCAGGCTGGAGTGCAGTGGCATGATCTCAGCTCACTGCAACCTCCGCCTCCTGGGTTCAAGTGATTCTCCTGCCTCAGCCTCCCGAGTAGCTGAGACTACAGGCATGTACCACCACCCCCAGCTGATTTTTTGTGTTTTCATTAGAGACGGGTTTCACCATGTTTGCCAGGATGGTCTCTATCTCTTGACCTTGTGATCCACCCGCCTCAGCCTCCCAAAGTGCTGGGATTACAGGTGTGAGCCATCACGCCTGGCCAGAGGTTTATTTATTTCTAATGTGCAGGCACACATTGATTGGAAACCAGTGGAGACAGGGAAGCCAATTAGGAATATATTGTAGAAGAATACAAGTAATGGGCCTAATCAGAAATGGCCTTGGAAACAGAAAGAAGGTAATAGTAATTTTAAGGGAAGTTGTAGAGTAGTAATCTACCTGAAAATAATCATTCAGTCAACATATATTAAACACTATATTTCGATCACTGTATTGATTGTGTGGCATAAAGGGCTAAATAGAATATATAGTCCCCACCCTCAAGGAGTGCACAGGCCAAATAGGGATTCAAGTGAGTCTGCAGATGACTGTGGATCTCTGACAGCTGTACCTAAAGTACTAAGGAGCTAAGAAGGCAGTGATAAACATGTCAAAGAAACCACCTCAAAGGCAGTGATATTTGATCTGAGTCTTAAGGATGAAACTATGGGTAAGATAATCAGATGTATTCCTTGACCTCATCTTGATTTTTCTCCTTGTATCCCACATTGAGTTATTTGGCAAATCCAGCTCTATCTTCAAAATGTATCTAGAATTCAACCATTTCTCTTCACTTCTGTTTCTACCACTTGGAGTAGACTAAAAGTGATTTCTCTCCTGAATTACTGCTCAGGACTACTCTCCTGCTTCTGTCATTGCCCTCTTGGAGTTTATTCTAAAGACAAGTGATAGAGTAGTCCTGCTCATGTCATATTCCTGCTCAGAAGCCTTCTATGACTTTCCCTCTCATTCAGAGTAGAAGCCAGTTCCTTAATGATATGGTTTGGCTCTGTGACCCCACCCAGATCTCATGTTGAGTTGTAATCCCCAGTGCTGGAGGTGGGGCCTGGTGGGAGGTGATTGGATCATGGGGGTGTTTTCTAATGGTTTAGCATCATCTCCTACTGCTGTCTGGTGATAGAGTTCTCATGAGATCTGGTCGTTTAAAAGTGTGTAGCAACTCTGGCTTTGCCCTTCCATCTCTTTCACCCATGTAGGATGTGCCAGTCTTGCCTTCCACCATGATTGCAAGTTTCCTGAGGCCTTCCCAGCTGTGCTTCCTTACAGCCTGTGGAACCATGAGCCAATTAAACTTCTTTTCTTTATAAATTACCCAGTCTCCGGTAGTTATTTATAGCAATGCAAGAATGGACTAATACACTAGACTCTATGTGATCTGGTGCCTCTATTACCTCTGACTTTTTCTCTCAGAACTCTTCCCTTGTTCTCTCTGCTTTGGCCTCACTGACCTCCATGCTATTTGTTGACATTTCTGTGCCCATACCCACTTCAGGGCTGTTGTATTTCCCCTCCCCTCTGCCTGGAATGCTTGTCCCCTAAATACCCATATGGTTATCTCTCTTACTTCCTTAAAAGTTTCAATGAGGCCTTCCGTAGCCACCCTACATAAAATTTCAACATTTCATATCCTCTTTTTCTGCTTTATTTATTTTTTTCCATAACATATGGTCAGTACCTAACCATACTATGCATTTTACTTATTTATCCAATTTATTACCTGTCTTCCTCACTAGAGTGTAAGCTCTATGAAAGTAGGGACATTTTTCTGTTTTGTTCACTATTCTATCCCCAGCGCTAAGAACAATATCTGGCACAAAGCAAGAGTTTAATATATGTTTGTGAATGAATGAATGAATGTTTCTGTTGTGCTAGGTGCTATGAGGAACCCAGAAAATATTTAAATTACAACTAAAATATGGAAATCACTATAATTTAGAAATACAGAATAGAAGTATGTTATAATTCTAGAAGATGAAATGCCAGATAGTTGGAATCATATTTTCCAAACCCTTCTTTCTTTACAAAATGTTGTCAGAATTAATAATATGGCATCATCTCTAAAGCACTGAGTGTAATTGTTACTCTCTACCAGTTAAGAGGAATTTTCCCTTGCCTTTTCACATATTTAAGTTGTAGCATCAGTTCCTAGCTGGAACTCTGAAACTGTGCCTTGGCCTCCATCATTAATTCATGAAACCCTTTGTGTGTTTTCAGGTTTGAAGCAGCCAAGCTTGTCATGCAGTGGCTCTGCAACCATGAGGATCAAAACATGCAAAGGATGGCAGTTGCTATCATTTCCATCCTGGCTGCCAAGGTACCTGAACTCTTGATGAATAATTTTCTGTAGGCAGCTGTTTCTCACTACATTTACTGTTTCCCGCCAAAATCTGTGTGCCAGAAAGATTAGTAAATCTCTCTGCCAACCTACTTATTCAAGCTACATTCGATATTGCAGAATTTGGCTGGGCACAGTGATTCACGCCTGTAATCCCAGCACTTTGGGAGGCCGAGGCAGGCCTCCCAAAAACAGATATATGGCAGAATTCCAAGTTGATCAGAGATTTTAGTCTGACTTTTGGAGTCAGGTACAGTGAATGATATTAAACTCACATTAGTGAGTTCTTGGACATTGAATTTGTTTTTTACTTGCTTGCAGCTTTCTACAGAACAAACTGCACAGCTTGGTACTGAGCTCTTCATTGTCAGGGTAAGTCTATAATCTCCTTCATGCAGGCTACTAGATATTAATGTTTATTATTTTCAGGCAGTATTATATATTTTCTGACATTATATATATATATATATATATATATATTTTTTTTTTTTTTTTTTTTGAGATGGAGTCTCGCACTGTCATCCAGGCTGGGGTGCAGTGGTGCGATCTCGGCTCACTGCAAGCTCTGCCTCCTGGGTTCATGCCATTCTCCTGCCTCAGCCTCCTGAGTAGCTGGGACTACAGGCGCCTGCCACCACGACCGGCTAATTTTTTTTTTTTTTTTTTTTGTATTTTTAGTAGAGACGGGGTTTCACCATGTTAGCCAGGATGGTCTCGATCTCCTGACTTCGTGATCCACCCGCCTCAGCCTCCCAAAGTGCTGGGATTACAGACGTGAGCCATCGCGCCCAGCCGACATTTTATATTTTAATAAAAACTTTCTGTGACCAGGCATGTGGTGACTCACACCTGTAATCCCAGCAGTTTGGGAGGCCAAGGCAGGAGGGGGTCACTTGAGGCCAGTAGTTTAAGAACAGTCTGGGCAATAGAATGGGACCCCTTCTCTACCAAAAAAAAAAAAAAGTTGGACATTGTGGTGCATGCCTGTGGTTCCAGCTACTCCAGAGGCTGAGGTGGGAGGATCCCTTGAGTCCAAGAGGTCAAGGCTGCAGTGAGCCGTGATCGTGTCACTGCACTCCAGCCTGGGTGACAGAGTGAGACCCTTTCTCAAAACAAAACAAAAAAAAAATTTTTTTGGATACTTCTAAAGAAGTGTATTTATTTATTTTCATATATGCAGCTTTACTCCTTAACAGAAATGGAAAAAACCCTGAACTAGGAGTCAGATGACCTAGGATCTAGCTTGTAAACTCACTTTGCGAATTTGGGAAAATTACTTGAACCATTGGGGTCCACATAAGTATTAAGATCCTATCTAAGACCAGGCACAGTGGTTATGCCTGTAATCCCAGCATTTTGGGAGGCCGAGGCAGGAGGATTGCTTGAGCCCAGGAGTTCAAGACCAGCCTGGGCAATATAATGAGACCCCGTCTATACAAATAATTTAAAAATTAGCCAGGCATGGTAGCACATGTCTGTGGTCCCAGCTACTCAGGAGGCTAAGGTGGAAGAATTGCTTGAGCCCAAGTGGTCAGGGTTGCAGTTGGCCATAATGACGCCACTGCACTCCAGCCTGGGTCACAGAGCAAGACCCTATCTCCAGAAAAAAACAAAACACCTATCTAATTGTAAAACTCTGTGATTTTTGTTATTTATATAGAAAATGTAGACACTCTATTACACACATAAGGTTGTGCTTTATGCTTTGCGGAAGCAGATAATTTAAATATCTGATATACGATTTTGCTTGCTTATAATCAGTTGAGGAAATAAGACTTTAAAAAGCTTTAAAGGGAGTAGATATAAAAAATGTCTTAGGGAAGACTTAGAGGCAAAAAGTATATTTAAACATGCCTGTTAAAATCCTGGCATGAGGTGTTTGAATAGTAATACTACATAGAAAAGTCAAATAAGAGACTCCCTTTTTCCATGACTTGTAAATTATGTATATAATGAGAAAGTAAACCATTCATTTGATAAATATGTATAGAGTACCCATGATATCAAATGAATGATACTTGCTGCCTTACAAGATGTTAGGGAATTCACACTGAATTATAATTATGTAATTAGAATTCACACTGAATTATATCTATAAATTCTACCCATAACAAACAGTACAATAGAAAAAAAACAGCTATGTAGATATGGTTGTAACAAAATCTAAAAAGTATAATAATAGAGATAAGAATGAAAAAAATAGGCCGGGCGCGGTGGCTCACACCTGTAATCCCAGCACCTTCAGAGGCCGAGGCAGGTGGATCACGAGGTCAGGAGATTGAGACCATCCTGGCTAACACTGTGAAACCCCATCTCTACTAAAAATACAAAAAATTAGCCGGGTGTGGCGGCGGGCATCTGTAGTCCCAGCTACTCGGGAGGCTGAGACAGGAGAATGGCGTGAACCTGGGAGGCGGAGCTTGCAGTGAGCCGAGATAGTGCCACTGCACTCCAGCCTGGGCAACACAGCGAGACTCTGTCTCAAAAAAAAAAAGAATGGAAAAAATAGCTGGGTGCGGTGGCTCACGCTTGTAATTTGGGAGGCTTAGGTGGACGGATCACGAGGTCAGGAGTTCGAGACCAGCCTGACCAACATGGTGAAACCCCATCTCTACTTAAAAATACAAAAATTAGCTGGGCATGGGCCTATAATCCCAGGCACTCAGGAGACTAAGGCAGGAGAATCACTTGAACCTGGGAGGTGGAGGTTGCAGTAAGCCGAGATTGGGCCACTGCACTCCAGCCTGGGCAAGAGTGAGACTCGCTTTCAAAAAAAAAAAAAAAAAAAAAGACCAAAATAATGTTATAAAGAAAGAGAAGGCTATTTGGGAATAATGGAAAGAGTGGGAATTCTGGAGCTGACATATCTGGATTTATTCTCAATTCTGTCTCTTACTAGCCATGTATTTTGGGCAAATCAGTTTTCTTTGGGGTGATAAAAAATACTTAATACACTTATTACAAAAATTAAATGAGAAGAAAAGCTCATGCTTGTAATCCCAGCACTTTGGGAGGCTGAGGTGGGAGGATCACCTAAAGCCAGGAATTTGAGACCAGCATGGTCAACATAGCAAGATTCTGGCTCTAACCAAAAAAAAAAAAAAAATTAGCCGGGCATGGTGACATGCACCTGTAGTCTCAGCTACTCAGGAGGTTGAAGCAAGAGGATTGCTTGAGCTTGGGAGTTCGAGTCTGCAGTGAACTATAATTGTGTCACTGTACTCCAGCCTGAGTAACAGAGTGGGATCCCGTGTCAAAAAAGAAAGAAAAAAAAAAAAAGAAAAATGGTTAATTAAGGTAGTATATGCTAAGTACCTAGTACTAAATATAATATACATTAGATAAGTAGAAAAAGATGCTCATTTTGTTTATTTTACTATTTTCAGAGGTGACAGTTTTAAAAAATGGCCTCTTATTGCTATATATGTTTCTCAGTAATTTTGGTATCTTCAAAGATTTTAAAGGAAATGTATCCATGCTTTGGGAGGAAATCAAGCTTAAAGAAGGAATTAGCAGGCCGGGCACGGTGGCTCATACCTGTAATCCTAGCACTTTGGGAGGCTGAGTTGGGTGGATTATCTGAGATCAGGAGTTCGAGACCAGTGTGGCCAACATGGTGGAACCCCATCTCTACTAAAAATACAAAAAGTAGCCAGTGTGGTGGCATGTGCCTATAATCCCAGCTACTTGGGAGGCTGAGGCAGGAGAATCACTTGAACCCAGGGGGCGGAGGTTGCAGTGAGCTGAGATTGCGCCACTTCGCTCCAGCCTGGGCAAAAGAGCAAGACTCTGTCCCAAAACAAACAACAAAAAAAGGAATCAGTAATAATAGTGATGATTATTATAACCAGATTTTTCTCCCCTGCTCTTAATTACCACCTGCAATCTACAGATGAGGAAACAAAGAATTAAACTGGTAAATGAAGTTGTGCAGTTAGTCAGATGCAGAGATTTAAGCTCAGGTAGATTTCTTCTAGTGCCACACTCTTAGCTACTGTGCTATTAACTTACCTAACTGTACCTACGTGTTTGTGTTTCTTCAGATTTTTTTTCTGAATTGTGTATAGCCTCTAGTATTATGTTCATTAATGTTTTCTTATATCTGTTTTAGCAGAGCTTCCTTTTTTACCTCCAAAAGTATAATCTAAAAATTGAATTATGGATGCCTTATGTAGTTTTAAAACCATTTACTTTTCAAACATAAATTTTTTAGGGTAAAGCTGTGATAGAACTAATTTACACTTGGAATTTCAAAGCTATTATCTTGTTTTTTGAAAGGGAGGAAGGGGAAAAGGAAATAAAAAGGGAAGGGGAAGGGGGGAAAAATAAAAAGCAAGACAGGCACTGCAGCATAGGCTGAGGAGGGAGGGGCTGTTATCTTATTTATAGTCAATATAGACTTTAATTCTCTTTTCATTGTATGTAGTTTTTCCTTTCTTTTGCTTCTTAAGGAAAACTTAGAGTTGAATAGTTTAGGTCTTCCTATTCTTACTTTCTCTGACTAAATTGACTGAACAAATTAGTTAATATTTCTCAGACTCAACTTTCCTAGAAAATGGGAATAACAGTACTACAATATAGAATATAATTTGCTAATCCTTCGTAAGTGTTAGCTTCATTTGCCCTTCTCTTCCTTTGCCTTTTTAATTCTAGAATCTAAAATAAGTATATGCTGTGACTGAATGAGTAAGATAGTTGATCCAAGTTTTAATCATTTTGCCTGTAAGTGTTATTTATGGGTGATTACATTGTAGGTATGACCAGAATAATGTAGAAGTATTTATGAAAATATTATACTTTTTTCTTGAAGAAAAGTTCAGTCTAGGCCGGGCGCGGTGGCTCAAGCCTGTAATCCCAGCACTTTGGGAGGCCGAGACGGGTGGATCACGAGGTCAGGAGATCGAGACCATCCTGGCTAACACGGTGAAACCCCGTCTCTACTAAAAATACAAGAAAATTAGCCGGGCGAGGTGGCGGCGCCTGTAGTCCCAGCTACTCGGAGGCTGAGGCAGGAGAATGGCGTGAACCCGGGAGGCGAGCTTGCAGTGAGCGAGATCGGCCACTGCACTCCAGCCTGGGCGACAGAGCGAGACTCCGTCTCAAAAAAAAAAAAAAAAAAAAAAAAAAAAGTTCAGTCTAGGCCGGGCGCGGTGGCTCAAGCCTGTAATCCCAGCACTTTGGGAGGCCGAGACGGGCGGATCACGAGGTCAGGAGATTGAGACCATCCTGGCTAACACGGTGAAACCCCGTCTCTACTAAAAAATACAAAAAAACTAGCCGGGTGAGGTGGCGGGCGCCTGTAGTCCCAGCTACTCGAGAGGCTGAGGCAGGAGAATGGCGTGAACCCGGGAGGCAGAGCTTGCAGTGAGCTGAGATCCGGCCACTACACTCCAGCCTGGGGACAGAGCAGACTCCGTTCAAAAAAAAAAAAAAAAAAAAAAAAAAAAAAAAAAAAAGTACCTTTATAGGAAATGCTTTAAGCCATGAAACTAATCCTCATGGACTTGTGGTTATTAATAACCACAAATTGTAATAGTCCAAAAATGAAAACTTAATTCTGTGTTTTTTTTTTTTTCAGCAACTTCTTCAAATAGTGAAGCAGAAAACCAATCAAAATTCAGTGGACACTACGTTGAAATTTACTTTGAGCGCACTTTGGAACCTCACAGATGAATCCCCGACCACTTGTAGACACTTTATTGAAAACCAAGGGTTAGAGCTCTTCATGAGGGTTCTAGAGGTTAGGATGGGAATTTAGCTTACAGTTTTGATATTTATTAATTTATTTACTTTAGCATTTATTTTATATTTGGTTCTTTAGGTAATTATAAGTTTCTCTTTCTTTTTACAGTCTTTCCCAACTGAGTCATCCATTCAGCAGAAAGTTCTAGGACTTTTGGTAAGATATACGCACTTCCTGCTAAGTTCCAAGCTGTATTTATTTTCTGTCTGAAGTAACACATTGAAAGTTGCAGCTCTGCAGTGGCAGTATCATAGCCAATGAGGTCTATCCAAGGCACAGTCATTGCTGAGAACTATTCCCAATACCTCGCCATGATGACTTGAAATATGGTCTTCAATGGCAATTTCTTTCTTTCTTTTTTTTCTTTTGAGACAGGGTCTCACTTTGTTGCCCAGGCTGGAGTGCCGTGGTGTGATCACAGCTCACTGCAGCCTCAACCTGCTGAGCTCAAGCAGTTCCCCCAACTCAGTCTCCCTAGTAGGTGGGACCATGGGCGTGTGCCACAATGCCCAGCTAATTTTTGTACTTTTTGTAAAGGTGGGGTTTTGCCATGTTGCCCAGGCTGGTCTCAAACTCCTGAGCTCAACCAGTCCTCCTCCTACCTTGGCCTCCCATAGTGGTGGGAATGTAGGCATGAGCTGCCTGGTCAGCAGTGGCAATTTTTGACAATTTCTAGGTGAATGAACAAAAAAAGAAAGAGAGAGAGAGAAAGAAAGTAAGTTGCTGCTATGATACTTGTAAACAATGACATTGGAAAATAAATATTACTAAATTTAAAAAGACTAAAAATATATCATGAGGTCAGGAGATCAAGACCATCCTGGCTAACACAGTGAAACCCCGTCTCTACTAAAAATACAAAAAATTAGCGGGACGTGGTGGCACGCGCCTGTAGTCCCAGCTACTCTGGAGGCTGAGGCAGGAGAATTGCTTGAACCCAGGAGGCAGAGCTTGCAGTGAACCGAGATCACACCACTGCACTCCAGCCTGGGCAACAGAGCAAGACTCTGTCTCAAAAAAAAAACCCCACAAATTTGAGAGGCCTAGGTGGGCAGATCACCTGAGGTCAGGAGTTCGTGAACAGGCTGGCCAACATGGTGAAACCCCGTCTCTACTAAAAACACAAAAATTAGCCGGGCGTGGGGGCAGGTGCCTGTAATCCCAGCTACTTGGGAGGCTGAGGCAGGAGAACTGCTTGAATCTGGGAGGTTGAGGTTGCAGTGAGCCAAGACCACACCATTACACTCCAGTCTGGGCAATAAGAGCGAAATTCCATCTCAAAAAAAAAAAAAAAGCAAAACCACACTTTTTAATTTATATATATATATATATACACACACACATATGTATACACACACACACAAAGATTTTTGCCACAGTAAAAAGAAAAATATTATACGTGTATGCTTCTTTATATTTTTTGGTATTGTACAAAGTTTTACACTGAGCATGTTTTACTTTTTTTTTGTTTATTTTTGAGATAGAGTCTGTCACTCTGTTGTCCATGTGGAGTGCAGTGGTACAATCATGGCTCACTGCAGCCTCGACCTGCCAGGCTCAAGCGGTTTTCTCACCTTAGCCTCCAGATGCCCAGCTTATTTATTTATTTATTTTTGTAGATTTGCAGTCTTGCCATGTTGCCCAGGCTGGTCTCAAATTCCTGGACTGAAGCAGTCTTCCTGCCTCGACCTCCCAAAGTGCTGGGATTACAGGCATGAGCCACCACACTTGGCCTCGTGTTTCACTTTTATAATTAGAAAAACAGATCTCATTAAAAAATGTTATCAGGCTGGACACAGTGACTCATGCCTCTAATCCCAACACTTTGGAAGGATGAGGTAAGAGAATTGCTTGAGCCTAGGAGTTTGAGACCAGCCTGGGCAACGAAGCACAACCCGATCTCTACAAAAAATAAAATAAGAAAATTAGCTGAACATGGTAACATGCACCTATAGTCCCAGCTAGTGGGGAAGCTCAAGCAGGAGGATCGCTTGAGCCTAGGAGTTTGAGGGCTGCAGTGAGCTATGCTCATCCCACTGCACACCAGCTTGGGTGGTAGAGTGAGACCCGGTCTCTTAAAAATAAAAGTCATTAACCTTTGACAAGTGTTCTTAGATTCTGTGTTTGATAGTTAATGATTACTACTTAAAGACTGCTTACGAAGGCCAGGCACGGTGGCTCATGCCTGTAATCCCAGCACTTTGGGAGGGTGAGGCAGGTGGATCCCCTGAGGTCAGGAGTTTGAGACCAGCCTGCCCAACATAGTGAAACCCCATGTCTATTAAAAATACAAAAGTTAGCCAGATATGCTGGTGCACAGCTATAATCCCAGCTACTCAGGAGGCTGAGGCACGCGAATCACTTGAACCTGGGAGGCGGAGATTGCTGTGTGCCAAGATTGTACCATTGCACTCCAGTCTGGGCAACAGAGCAAGACTGTCTCAAAAAAAAAAAAAAAAAAAACCTGCTTACAAATCACATATGTCTTAATATGTTGCATATAGATTAAGCCCTCTAGGATTTTCAGACAAAGGTAAAAGATCAAATGTTTTGTCAGCTTAAATTGCTGCAACAGGCAAAGTGCCTATGTGGCAAAAGCCATTTTATTTTCTTTTTTATTTTAAAAAAAAATACTGGTCAGGTGCAGTGGCTCACGCCTGTAATCCCAGCACTTTGGGAGGCTGAGGTGGTGGATCACCTGAGGTCGGGAGTTCGAGACCAGTGTGACCAAATGAAGAAATCTTGTTGCTACTAAAAATACAAAATTAGCCAGGTATAGAGGTGCATATCTGTAATCCCAGCTGTTCGAGAGGCTAAGGCAGGAGAATCACTTGAACCCAGAAGGTGGAGGTTGCTGTGAGGCAAGATCGCGCCATTGCATTCCAGCCTGGGCAACAAGAGTGAAACTCTGTCTCAAAAAAAAAAAAAAAAAAAAAAAATGGAGCACTTCACAAATTTACATGTATCCCTGCACAGGGGCCATGCTAATGTTCACTGTACCGTTCCAATTTTAGTATGTATGCTGCCAAGCGAGCACACAAAAGCAGATATCTGCTCTCAATGAATTAGATTATGGAAGGCATAGATTAGTGAGTTAAAAAATGTAAATTGGAGCTTGTTTTCCACATGCAAGCAGTGAGGAGATGGATTTTTAGGAAAGCTGAGGACTGCCATTTAAGGAGGACCTATCTGTTCGTTGTAGCCTTCATTATATAAGGTAGAAAATGGAAAACAACCTAAATGTCCAGCAATAGAGGAATTATTAAATAAATAACAGCATTTGATTGTTTTATTCAGGGTTAATATGATTATTTGATAGAGAAGTTGGCTCCGGTCACCTGAAATGGAAAGGTGGAATTTATTTTAAGTATTTGTGGGTCGGGTGCAGTAGCTCACGCCTGTAATCGCAGCACTTAGGGAGGCTGAGGTGGGTGGATCACAGGTGGTCAGGAGTTCAAGACCAGCCTAACCAACATGGTGAAATCCCGTTTCCACTGAAAATACAAAAATTAGCCAGGCGTAGTGGCACATGCCTGTCCCAACTACTCAGAAAGCTGAAGCAGGAGAATTGCTTGAACCTAGGAGGCAGAGGCTGCAGTGAGCCGAGATTGCGCCACTGCACCTCAAGCCTGGGCAACAGAGCAAGACTCTGTCTCAAAAAAACCTGAAACAACAACAGCAACAAAAAAAGATTCCATCTCAAAAAAAAACAACAAAAAAAACCTATACTATTTTTAAATTTCAAAAGGAATACATGTTTGTTATAACTAGTGAAACAGTGCAAAAATGTATTTAACATCCTTAAGGCTCTGTCTCCAACCTTTCATCATTTTTATCTCCGTAAAGTTATTAATGTTAATATAACTTTATATGTTTCCTTCCATATTTTTCTCTATTACCTTGTGATTAAATTGTTTCAATAATTTGAGATATTTATTCTAATTTAATTCTTTATGGTGAGAGAATATGCTTTGTTTGGTTAGAGTCCTTCTGAATTTATTCAGACTTGTGTATGGCCAAGGATATGGTCTATTTTGGTAAATATTCCATATACACTTGAGAGGAATGGGTATGGTCTTATTATTGGGTATAGTGTTCTATAAATGACAATCAGGTCACTGATTGTTAATTAGCTTGATTAATTAACACTAATTAATAATTAGATTATACAGTGTCACAGTTGACACTGTACAACTCTACCACATCCTTACTAATTTTCTAATTTTACCCATTCTATCAATTATTGACAAAGGAGTTTTGAAATCTCTGACTATAATTGTAGATATATGTTTCTCCTTACAGTTCTATCAGCTTTTTCTTCATGTATTTTGAAACTCTATTATTAGATGTATAAACATTTAGAATTATGTCCTCCTGATTAATGGACTCCTTTAACATTACCAAATGACTTTCTTTACCCCTGGTAATATCCTCTACTTTGAAGTCTGCTTTGGTACTGATATAGCCATCTGTACTTTCTTTTGTCTAGTGTTAGCATAGTATTTCTTGTTTTATCCTTTTACTTTTACCCTATATTTGTCTTTATATTTAAAATGTATTTCTTGTAGATAGCATATACCTTGCATACTGCTTTTTTATCTAGTTCGAAAATAGCTGTTTTTTATTCGGGGTATTTGGATCATTTACATGTCCTGTGATTTTTTATTTTTTTTAAATAATAAAAAATAATAATTGTGTATGTGGAGTACAATTTTTTTTTTTTCTTGTGACGGGGTCTCACTCTGTCGCCTAGGCTGGAGTGCAGTGGTGCGATCTCAGCTTACTGCAAGCTCCGCCTCCTGGGTTCACGCCATTCTCCTGCCTCAGCCTCCCAAGTAGCTGGGACTGCAGGTGCCCACCACCACGCCTGGCTAGTTTTTTGTATTTTTAGTAGAGACAGGGTTTCACTGTATTAGCCAGGATGGCCTCAATCTCCTGACCTCATGATCCTCCCACCTCGGCCTCCTAAAGTGTTGGGATTACAAGCGTGAGCCCCCGCGCCCGGCTGTCATTTTTTTTTTTTTGAGACGGAGTCTCGCTCTGTCGCCCAGGCTGCAGGGCAGTGGTGCAGTCTCAGCTCACTGCAACCTCCGCCTCCTGGGTTCAAGCGTTTCTCCTGCCTCAGCCTCCTGAGTAGCTGGGGTTACAGATGTGTGCCACCATGCCTGGCATTTTTTTTTTTTTTTTTTCGTAGAGACCGGGTTTCACCATGTTGGCCAGACTATTCACGAACTTCTGACCTCAAGTGATCTGCCTGACTCGGCCTCCCAAAGTGCTGGGATTACAGGTGTGAGGCACCGTCCTGGCCCAATGTAATGTTTTGATGTATGTGTTTAATCATCATGGAGTGATTAAATCAAGCTAATTAACAT